AGTAAAGGGAGGTAGATAGACTGAATGAAGTCTCGTAGATAAAACTTGGGGAAAACTGGAAAAATGTGAAACCTCAGCACCTATGTCCTTTCAACTTATATATTGAGATGAATGCAGAAAAACAGATTTTTAGCAGAGAGGATCAGGGAGAGGGAAACCCATAATGCTTTATATGTCCCAAGGAGCATTTATCTGAAAGTGAATGGAAGGTTTCTTTTGTCTTCTGTGTACAAACTCCATGTTCGATATGAAAGTAGAGGACACTGAAAGATAGTTGGCAGGGTTTTAAAGCATTATGTTCCCTTGACCCAGCCTTAGCTACAATTTTGACTGTAAGAACCTGGGCTTGACATTTCATAAAGATTCCCGGGACCCCAGGCAAACATTATCCAGCAGTCCATGCTTATCCAACAGAAAGTTCTACTCTGTGTTTGATTCACAAATCATTAACAGTCCTTCTAGCTATGGCTCTAGACACAAGATAGGAAACAGCACATGGTTTCCATGTGCAAAGTAGAAGTGGCACTTCACAGGAAGTAGAGTGAAAAATGGGGTTAAAAACTAGCTTTCCCAAAGGCTCGGCTCATGGTGTGCATGGACTTGAGATTCTTCATTTATAGCAGAGCCAGGCACAATTTGCAATAATTGATAGGATATGGACAGATACAGAATGAATGAGGTGCTTATTACTTTAATCACTTTCAATTACTGTGTCATGCTGAGCTTCTGAACACAACCAAGACAAAATCCGAATGATCAAAGGGGTTGTGAAACAGGGAAGGGCAAAGGTAAGTTGTTTCTTTATGTGGGCCATTTAAATTTTAATGGTCAGAAGGGTTTCTTACTATAATCTCAGCATATTGATATGGAGTACATGGAAATTAGTATTTCCTCCTTATTTGGTAATTCTTCCTTTCAGTGACTACAGTTTGTAAGGAAGCCATTCATGCGATCTGTGCTTGGTAATCTGTCCGCTTGCCTTGAGTGTTTGCATCAGAGGGGTACTGAGAGAGGGCACCATTTGCAAAGGCTCAGATGCATGAAAGAGCGTGGTCCCTGGAGAGGCAAGATGATATGTAACATTGGAGTCCAGGACACATCTGGGAAAGGGGCAGGTGCCAAAGTGGAGAAAGTTGGTAGAAAACGGATGGGAAGAGTTTTGTGTGTTCATGCTAAAGGGTTTTCAGTGTCAGTCTGAGAGTAATGGCCAATTATTGAAAGGGTTTTAAGAAATAAAGATCGGCTTTTTTTTTTTCATCCTTCTAGAGCCAATGTAGCCAAACTTGGATGGGAAAAATGAATTAAAATGAATTAGGTGGCTCTTGCTATTGTTCAGGTAAAGAAAAGTTGAGAATGGGAGGAAAGGGATGAATCAGAGAAATTAATGTAACTAATTGATAACATGTTGGGAATGGGAGAGAACAAGGAACTCAGAATGGCATCCAGGCTTCTGGATGTGATGATTGGGAGGACAAGGGCGCTATTAACTGCAAGGAGGGATTTCAGAGGGGGGATAACTTGAGGTTTAATGATGACGACTTCGTTTGCAGATGTATTGAGTCTGAGATGGCTGGTTAAGTATGCAGATAAACCAGACGAGAGGATAGCTGGAATTACAGTTTGAAGGTAACAATTTGGAAGTTACAGTTTATAGTGAGTGTCATTTTATATGCATACAAAAGATGACCCTGAGGATTGTATCATTTGAGAAAGATAAAATGGCAAGGAGGATGCCTGATGAACAGCATGAAAGGGATGAATAGAGGAAAAGGAGTCCACAGATTGACTGGAGAGAGCCCAGCAGTGGGAGGAAAATGGGGGTGGGTCACGAGGGTATATTGGAAGTTTACGGAAACAGAGAGAATTTCAAGGCATGGGCAACGGTCAACTTTAACAATGTAGCCCAAAGTACTAGAGGACTTAAAAAGTGCTGACCAAGCTCTAACTGGTTTGGTTCAGTGGATAGAATGTCGGCCTGTGGACTGAAGGGTCCCAGGTTCCATTCCAGTCAAGGGCATGTACCTTGGTTGCAGGCACATCCCCAGTAGGGAGTGTGCAGGAGGCAGCTGATCGATGTTTCTCTCTCATCGATGTTTCTAACTTTCTATCCCTCCCCTTCCTCTCTGTAAAAAATCAATAAAATATATATATTTTTTAAAAGTACTGACCAATTGTAACACTAAAATCATGCGGTTTCAATAAGACAGTGGGCGCAGAAGCCAATTGTAATTGGTTGAATGGAAGATGGATGAGAAAATAGATAAAGCAAGAGTTCTATGCTTTATTTAACAAAAAACAAAACAAAACTCTGCTGTGACTAGGAAGAGTTAGAGTGAGAAAGAAAAAGTGACATCTAGAAGGGTAAAGAAGGATTTAGATCTCTTTACTTTTGCTTTCTATGGATAGAACATGGAGCTGAGGAGCATGCCAAGAGTCAAAAGCAAGTTGGTATGGCCACTGTTCTTTTATCTGTCCCATAGCAAGGAGAGAGCAATAATGATAACATAGCATCTACTATGTTCCAACTTCTCTATGTGTTGTTTTACACATATTAACTCATCTGCTTCTCATAACTGCCTAATGAGGTGAATTCTGTTATCATCCCCATTTTATTTATGAGAAAACTGAAGTACAGGGAGCTAAAATAATCTGTGCAATTTGTACTCTGCCCTCTACATTAAGCAAATGCATTACAGGACCACAAAAACTGTATTTAGCTGTATACCTCAGCTTCAGCGGATTCAAAAGATGGTTGGTTGGATGAAAAGCTAGAGAGGTGGGGACCAGGGCCTTTGGTATAGTTACAGGCTAGCTGTGAGATAAAGGGGAAGTTTCTCTGCGAGCATGTCCTTACAAGTTTTTCATACTATTAAGAAGTTGAAGATTGAGTAAAATTATTGGCCCATCAATATTATTTGGCACTTAACCTCCTTGGAAAAAGTTTAGTTGGGAATAACAACCAAGAGTTAGTTTGTTGTGGCCGAACTGAACTATTCACTAAAATGAAATGGTGGCAAGTAATTCAGGATGGGAATCAGTCTTGGGCTCTGGGTGGAGGTGGGCAGGGAAGGGAGATGGAGAGAAAGATGGCGTAAGATGTTGAAACAAAGATTATCTTGGTCACATAGTTGAGTGAAGCTTGAAATTACTTCCAGGCATTTGGTAGTGGAACTCATGAAAGATCGGCTAAATGATTGTATTTGTAGGACATTGTTTATCCTGAGTAAGCGTTTCCTCGTTTGCTGCCCATCACTCCACAAAGGTGGTATATTTGGACATTTCAAAGAATTAGAGGTCTGTTCGTCTCTTACTGTAATATTGACATGAGCCACAGTAGCTAACAGTACCATTTATTCAGAACTTACTAAGTTTCAGGTATAATGCCTGTTGCTTTATAGGAAGTATCTCCTTTTATCTTTATAAAAACCCTAGAGGTGGTTCACTATTACCCTCACTTTACATTTGAGGAAGTTCCAGCTTGAAAACACAAAGTTACCTGCCCAAGAACATAGAGCTAGCCAGTGGCTAAGCAGACGTGAACCAGGTCGCATGAATCCAGAACTCAGGTACTAACTCCTCTGTGTTAGACAAGAAATACATGGTGCCCTGAACTGGGTAATTCTTTCTGAGTTGGATCGGAGGCTGCCATATCCACATATGACAAAGTCAGCTTCAGAAAAGCCTTGTCTCTAATTCTACTGACCATAGTTATGAGGGAGTTGACTCATGGGGGGAAGGTGAACCTAGCAAAAATACAGTTAGAAGTGTCTTAATGAAAGTAGGAAATCTTCCTATGTCTTTTAATCTTTTGGGACTAGGCAGTTAAAAGTATTTCTTTACCTTTTCAATGCAAAATGAATCTATCCTTGTATACACTTTGGTGTTGTAGATATTTGGGGGCTTAAATTAGAGTGAAGACAGTTTTGTTAGGCACAGGAAGGCTCTTTGGACAGTGGCTGAATATAACTGTGGCAGTGGTTTTTATCCATCTCTTCAGTACTACGTACGTGCTGTGCAGGCTGCTGGGATACAGAAATTAAGGCACTGTCTCTGATTTCATCTTGTGGAGTTTACAATCAGATGGGTAGGCAGAAATTAAATAAATTCACTGGGAATATTTAATTACTCTTAACTAGATTTTTGAAACGCTAATAAAATTATAAATTTGACAGCTTCCCAGTTAACTGTAATAGGCTAACTGGAAATAGACTAGTTAATACTGGGAGTATGCCAGGTCTGTGTTAATATGTATAAAACCATAGACTTAAGGCATTGAAATAACTGAAAATATAAAAGTAGTAAAAAGACTGTCATAAAGTATAGTTTAAAATGCTGGGTATGTAGGAAAAACATAGCAAATTGTTATATTCTCATTTTCTATGCATTTATATTGCTTATTTATTACTATATTGTGAATGATTATGAAAGATACAAATACTTATCATGAGCAGCTTTGTTGTGGAAACTTTTTAAGAAAATACACATAGATCATAGCTTCTTCTTGCACCTTTTGTTTTTGCTGTGTTGACCGGGAAACCCCATAGAACAGACATTCTGAGGAAGACTGTGAGAGCAGCAGCTCCAAGGATCTCCAAATCTATTTTTTTCTTAAAATGTTCTTTTTCCAAGCCAAATCCAAAAGTAATAAAAGATGTAGTCATGCATGTTCAGACCTTTATTAAAAATTTTGTCTTGCATTTGATATTAAAACCGGGTGAAAGTTCTTAGATGACAGTTTTACTTTAAGCCTTAATCCATGATAATTATTCCCCATGAGTTCATACTGGATGAAATTCTGCCTCTACTCCAACTGTTTAAGTCCTTGGAAAATTCATAAAGTGAAATTTACACCCCATCGGATTCTCTAAAGGACGTCTGTGTATTGCCCTGCATTTCTGCGAGCTGTGCTCGGGTGGCATGGGGAAGGTATTGCATTTTTTTTATTTCTGGTATTTGTTTTTATAAATGCTTTCCTTTCTTTCCTACTCCTATCTCTCCAGGTTCAGTTTGAACTTCAGGCCTTTCACATCCGGGGTGAGCATGCAGTGATAACAGCAAGACTAGAAGAAACCATCGAAAACCTCAAACACGAGATAGAGCACCGATGGCGCGGAGGATGTGAAGAGATGAGAGATGTTTGTATCTCCACCAACGATGACTGCCCTCCCAAGACCTACAGAAATGTGTGCATCCAGACAGACAGAGAGACTTTCCTCAAACCCTGCGAAGGGGAAGGCAAGACAACCAGAAGTAACCAAATAATACCCAAAAAGCTGAACATCTCCTCTTTAAGCCAACTCTCCCCGCCAAATGACAACAAAGACATTCTTCCACCACTTCAGTCTGTGGAATGCATCTCACCGAGCCAGGAGAAGGCATCGCCTCTCCCCACAGCACCACCCCCACCAGCAGTCATCCCTCCCCCTCCACCCCTACCACCTGGGCTTGGACCTTTGCCACCAGCCCCTCTGCCACCACCTGTGAGTGCAGGGCCACCACCACCTCCGCCACCTCCTCTGCCTCCAAGCACTGGACCTCCCCCGCCTCCTCCCCCACCACCACTTCCTAGCTCACCCATTCTGCCCAGCAGTGGGGGGCCTCCTCCTGCTCCAACACTCCCAGGACTTGTGCCCCCACCTCCTCCTGGCCTCTTCTTTGGAGTCGGCCCTTCTTCTAGCCAATGTCCTCGGAAGCCAGCCATTGAGCCCAGTTGTCCCATGAAGCCTCTGTACTGGACTAGAATACAAATAAGTGATAAGAGGTAAGCTCAACCACTCCCCCTACGCCCCCCAGCCCATTTTCAACTTATGAATTCCCAGACTTTTGCACAAGTGATGTTTTCCCTTACCAGTTTAATTTCTGTATGTGCAGTGCAGCACTTATTCTCAAGTGTGGTACAGTGAATGCCTTGGAGTGTTTTGGGGAGATGGTGTGTCCCCACCACATCTTGTCTGTATTCGCTATGGTTTTCTGCTAAGAGAAATGATGTGTTTAGTGTCATATCCCTCTCTAAGATAAACATTCCACTTTACAGAATAGAGAAGAGCTCAGGTCTTAGCTAGAACCTTCTCGAACGTTCCTACAATTAGTGAGTAATCACAAAGACATTGAGCTGGAATCTATACTGTAGATTCACTGAAGATTTTTTAAATATCTGTCTTGTCTTTAACCATATGATCTGGTTTCTAATAGGTATGTGTAATTTTTCATTTTTTTTTTTATTACAAGAACAAGACATAGCTGAGTCATTATTTCTTCAGGTCAGAGGGGAGTCTTAAAATAGAAACTCTCTAGTTAAACTCTGGTTCCCCTAACTGCTCAGCGCCCTCATCTCTTATACCCTGCTGCCTATCAGAGAAAGTGCCAGTATGTGAATAGCTAAAGAGCACCTTCCATTTGTATAGCTTGTTAAGCTGGGTCTGTAAGGCAGCAATGTATGGTTGTTTGGAAACTTCAAATCAAACAAATTTCAATGGGATTTCTTCCGCCTTATTTCGGAACCTGTTGAGAGGATAATGAGAGATGCTGAGTTGCTTCTTTTTTTTAATTAAATCTTTATTATTCAGATTATTACAGTTGTTCCTCTTTTTTTCCCCCATAGCTCCCCTCCACCCGGTTCCCACCCCACCCTCTGCCCTTACTCCCCCACCCCCCACTGTCCTCATCCATAGGTGTATGATTTTTTCGTCTCTTCCCGCACCCCCACACCCCTTTCCCCCCGAGAATTGTCAGTCCACTCCCTTTCTATGCCCCTGATTCTATTATATTCACCAGTTTATTCTGTTCATCAGATTTTTTTATTCACTTGATTTTTAGAATCACTTGTTGATAGATATGTACTTGTTGTTCATAATTTTTATCTTTACCTTTTTCTTCTTCTTCCTCTTCTTAAAGAATACCTTTCAGCATTTCATATAATACTGGTTTGGTGGTGATTAACTCCTTTAGCTTTTTCTTATCTGTGAAGCTCTTTATCTGACCTTCAATTCTGAATGATAGCTTTGCTGGATAAAGTAATCTTGATTGTAGGTTCTTGGCATTCATCACTTTGAATATTTCTTGCCACTCCCTTCTGGCCTGCAAAGTTTCTGTTGAGAAATCAGCTTACAATCGTATGGGTACTCCCTTGTAGGTAACTAACTCTTTTTCTCTTGCTGCTTTTAAGATTTTCTCTTTGTCTTTTGCTCTTGGCATTTTAATTATGGTGTGTCTTGGTGTGGTCCTCTTTGGATTCCTTTTGTTTGGGGTTTTCTGTGCTTCCTGGACTTGTAAGTCTCTTTCTTTCACCAGGTAGGGGAAGTTTTCTGTCATCATTATTTCTTCAAATAGGTTTTCAGTATCTTGCTCTCTCTCTTCTTCTGGCAACCCCATAATTCAGATGTTGGTACACTTGAAGTTGTCCCAGAGGCTCCTTACACTATATTCATAGTTTTGGATTCTTTTTTCTTCTTTCTTTTCTGGTTGGGTGTTTTTTGCTGCTTTGTATTTCAAATCTTTGACTTGATTCTTGCAATCCTCTAGTCTGCTGTTGGATCTCTGTATATTATTCTTTATTTCAGTCAGTGTATGCTTAATTTCTAGTTGGTCCTTTTGCATATCCTCAAGGGTCTCACTAGACTTATTGAGGGTCTCACTAAATTTATCGGCGGTTTCTAGAAAATTCTTGAAAAACCTTATAAGTGTGGTTTTGAACTCTATATCCAGTAGTTTGCTTTCCTCCATTTCTGTCATTTGTGACCTGTTTCTTTGTCTCCACATTTTTTATGCTTCCCTGTGTTGATAGAGTGGCTTTCTGTGCTAGGTGTCCTGTAAGGCCCAGTGGCTCAGCCTCCTCAATTAGGTGAGGTGGACACTCTTGGGGCAGCCCTTTGTGGGCTTTATGCACAGTCTTGTTGTAGTTAAGCCTTGATTGTTGTAATTATCACTGGGAGGATGACCTCCAGGCCAATTGGCTGTGAGAATCACCTGTGTCTATGGGGGAGAACTTCTGTGCTGGAGATGCCCTTATGGGGCAAGGCTTGCTTCAGTGGGGCTTTGGTGCTCACTAAGTCTGCCCCCTGAGTGTGTACCTTATGGATCTGAGGAGTTGTAATCTGGATGGTCCTACTCTGACCACTGGGTACACTGGCTCTTGGATCTCTAAGGAGGTGCTTATTTAGCCTCTGCCTGAGGCTACCCAGCAGGAGCTACGGAGAGATCTGCAGATTCCTCTTCTTTGTTTGGGGTTTGGAGGTACCCAGATGAGGCCCAGCTGTGAAGCAGTGCAAGCTGCTGTGGGGCCTTGGGCCTTCTTTTGGATGTTCTGGGTCTCTCTGACCCAGCTACAGTTTGTTAGGTAATTTTAGATTGCAAAAGCCAGGCCATTCATATGCAAAAGCCTATGAGCACAGCTTGGGTGGGGCAGGGTCACAGGGAATCAACAGGGCGGAGCAAACAGCTATGGCCGCTCCTCAGTCCTACCCTAAGAGGCCCCGAGTCTCAGTGTCCCATGGTAATTGCTGCAAGCACCTCTGAGAGAAAGCCACCCTCGAGTTCCGCCCGCTGCCAGACAGTCCAGTTTCTCCCCGTATGAGTCTGGGTCCCCAGAGACTCGCCCAGAACTGGGGTTCAGAGCAGTCAGGAGCTTGTGTCTCCCTCCCGATTGAAAAAGACAACCGAGTCCTCAGTTGCCAGCCCTTTCCACGCACCTCCATACCTCTGCACTTTACTTCCACACCTCCTCTGAGTCTCAGTGTGCTTTTCTCTTTCCTTCTAGTTATAGAATTTCCACTCAGCCAGCCTTCCTGTGGTTCTGGATGATGTCCGTTTTGTCTTTTAGTTGTAGTTTTGAAGTGGTTGTTCGAGGCAGCAATTTCAGGTGTTTACCTGTGCCACCATCTTGGTTTCTCCGTTGAGTTGCTTCTTGACTACTCTCTAGGTTTGACGTTCATTTGTTTACAGAGAACAGAAAATACAGAACACATTTTTTTAAGTTAAGTTTTGGTTTGGTTTTTAATTTATCTTTATTGTTAAAAGCATGAAAGGTGTCCCGTTTGTTTGTTTGTTTGTTTGTTTGTTTGTTTGTTTGTTTTTGCCCCCCATAAGCCCCCTCTACCCAGCACTTGCCCCTCCCAGGCCTTCCCCACTCTATTGTCTTTGTCTATGTGCTATGTGTATATCCATGTCAAGTTCCCTCGTTAATCACTCCTTTCCCATCCATCGCCTCACCCCTGCCTTCCCTCTGAAATTTGTCAATCTTATTCCATGCTTTTAAGTCTCTGGATGTATTTTGTTCAACAATTTATTTTCCTTATTAATTTCCACATATAAGTGAGATTATGTGATACTTGTCTTTCTCTGACTGGCTTATTTCACTTAGCATAATACTCTCCAGGTCCATCCATGCTGTTGCAAATGGTAAGAGTTCTTTATTTTTTACAGCCACATAGTATTCCACTATGTAAATATACCACTGCTTTTTTATCCACTCATCTGCTGATGGCACTTGGGATGTTTTTTGAAATTATTCACAAAACCAGATACAGTGGTGAAATTTTCAATTTATATAACATTTTACTTAGAAAAAGCAGGATATTGAAGAAGATAACATATAATTCACAATTATAAAATAACTGGAAATCAATATAGGAGGAGTGGGAATACTAAGCATATGGTGAAGTTGATTAGGTACTTCATATTGGCCCCTTTCTTCTCACCAAAAAATAAGGGCCAAGAGTTTATGTGGAGAAAATCCTGATACTTTTTTTAATGTTGATGCTTTATAATTTTCCAAGTGATGGTTAAAAAAAAACAAACCATGAGATGACCCTGAAATAGCTCCTACCTTTAGCTAAAGTACTAGTATTCCCCTTTTCCCATTCAAGACTCAGATGGCATTTCCTAAGAAATAACTTTCCAGAATATTTATTTGGAGCTGTGTTCTCTTATTAGTGTCCTGAAATTAATGTGCAGCCCTTCCTGGGTGATGAATCCCACCTGGTCAGACAGCACACATTGCTGTTCACACCTGTGTCTCACACCTGTGCCCACACTTCATTCCCCACAGATTTTCTGCACAACCACTATCATGACTGCAGCAGGGGTATTACAGTGCTGCTAGGCACTATGGGCCCTTTGTCAGGGTTCAAGGTGGGACGAAGTCAAGCTGCAGATTATCATTGTTGGTGTTTCTCCTTCCTTATGTACTTGGCCATTTTGAAAAAGAAAACAATGGAATGTTCAAGCTCTTATCAGTTTTACCATAAATTTAGGGCTTCAGTTTTGAGCCTAATGAAAAGTGGATGAATGTACTGACTTTCCGGACATCAGGAGAGCCCTACTAGGTGAACTTGTCAGATTGAGCCTGACTTTGGGGGAGCAGGAGGCTTTCCACTGTGATGTGTGAAGACTGGGACATGGCACTTCTGCTGCACCACACATTTCATCTCTCTTATTATGGCAAGAGTTTTTGTTCCTCAGAGCATGACTACTTGTTTTATTTTATTTTATCTTTTAAATATCTAGATAGATAGATAGATAGATAGATAGATAGATAGATAGATAGATAGATACACACACACACATTTATTTATTTTGAGAGAGAGATAGAGAGAGAAAGAGGTGAAAGAGAAACATCGTTTGGTTGCCTCCCATTTTCATCCCAAATGGGGATTGAATCCGCAACCTGAGTGTGTGCCCTGACCAGGAATCAAACGGGAGACCGTTCGGTGCATGGGATGGTGCTCCAACCAACTGAGCCACAACGGCCAGGGCCGACTACTTCTTTTAAACTAAAATGGTCTAAAGATTCTGTGTAGCATTTAGTTATGGAAAAAAGTAAAATTATTTGAGATGTGTTCTTTCAAAAGGGATGAAATGATATTTTAATATTTTATATAACTGGATGTTGTAAGCACTTTGTATAATGTACACATGAAAAGTTTTGGTCTTGGTCTATTAGGGAACTGGGAGTAAAATATGAATTTTTCCCATGTTATATATATACCGCCTCTCATCCATCTAGATTGCTTTTCACTACTAATGAGAACTGATTTTTAAGTCTTGCCATTTTGCTTTTATAAAAAAATCTATTTTCTGATTCTAGAAAAGGGAAGAGACATTTAGTTAACGAAAAAGAAATCCTAATCTATCTACTTTTTCAGCTTCCTGTTAAATATCTATCTTCCTAGTATCTTCTCCTTCCTCCCTTCACTTTCCCCCTCCTCCCCCTTTCCCCCTTCTCTACTTCCATCTCCATTCTTTTTTCTTCCTTCCTCCTTCTGCCTCCCTCTTCCTCTTCTTTTGAGCTAAAACTGTAAGTTTAGTGGTCAGAAAAGAGTTGACCATGAGAGCAGATGGTCCATTGTAAGTGAGTTCTTGTCACTGCCCCACAAAATGCCAGTTACCGCCAACTCACTGAGAGGTGGTATTTCAGAATTTATTTATTTATTATTGGAAATGTATTTTCCCACAGAAACAATGTTGTAAATGGTGACGAAGCACTCAGCCTGACTGCCAGACCCAATTTGCTTCAGAACATGAGGTATAACACTAGTTGTACTGACCTGAGCTCAGTCCTTGGGAGCTGGGCCAAGCAGTACAGGTACAGAGGTGACAGGGGTGAGTCTGAACAATCTGCCTTATGCTTCACATCACCTCCCTCCAAGCATCCTCTCCCCAGTTTCCCAGAAATTTTGTGAGCTCCAAACCAGCACCCTAAGATCCCCCTTCCTCAGTGCCGCTGAGATAAACACCACTTGAAGTTGAATGATAGGTGGGGCCTGAGGAAGGAGCATGTACATGGATGTACTTCATTGAAAATGTTCTAGCCCGTGGGTGATGATTTCACAGGTATTTATTATACTGTCATATCTTATAACTCACATATGTCACATACATGCTCTTCAGTGGCTCAAATATTGTGAATGTGCCCAGAACCAAAATGTCATATTTCATGGGTAAGGCAGACATATAGCAAAATGTGAACACAGATCTGAAAAGCAATTTCGAATATGAAAATCACCTTTTAGTATCAAAAAATTGTATGGACCACTTTATATAATAATAATGGATCTTTCCGTTTCCATTGATTGAGAAAATATATATTGAAACAAAGGTAAGTACTTATAGGTATTATTGGTAATAACATCTACATATGTTTAAAAACAAACATGTAAATGAGATATATTTTTTTCTATCTGTGTGCATTAAAAGTGTTTAAAAATAGATTAAAAACTAAGTTAAGAAAGCAGACATTTGGGGGAAAATGTGTTCTGACTGAAGGGAGCCTGGATCTTAACCATCCGTCAGCTCTCAGAGGCAGGTCTTCTGTATCTCATTTTCCATATCTTCATCTCTTTCTTTGTTTCAAATCTAAGGTGACCCTGTTTGTTTGTTTTTTAAGACAAAGCAAAGCAGTCTCCCCGTGACTGCTTTATTTGAAATCCCAGTGAGGGCCATTTTTATCATTTGGCTTGTTTTTATTATTATTTTTTCAATATAGTTTTATTGATTTCAAGAGGAAGGGAGAGGGAGAGAGAGAGAGAAACATCAATGATGAGAGAGAATCATCGAATCATCTGGCTGCCTCCTGCAGGCCCCACACTGGGGATCAAGCCTGCAATCCAGGCATGTGCGCTGACCTGAATTGGAACTGTGACCTCCTGGTTCATAGGTCAACGCTCAACCACTGAGCCATAATAATTTTTATTATTAATACTGTTGTTGGAGTGTGGTATTATAAATCAAGTATTTCTAAATGAGCACAGCCCATTCACGTATTACAGGTCCTGCACTTACTTTACCAGAAAACCATATTTAAAACCAGTAGAAGAAATCCAAAGAAAGGCTAAATCTTTACATTAGTACTTCATTTTCGTTCTGGTTAAGAATTATCCCATCACTGTCTCAAGATTGATTATCCCTCAGCCTTTATATGATGCCCATGTTTATCCACCATGGAAATGCTACAGACTGAGGGAGAAGCAGCTCGCATGGCACTAACAGTATGAACCCCAGGATTTCTGGTCCCACAAAGTTTCTCTCTCTCTCTAGATCTCTCTCTCTAGACCTCTCTTTGATTATATCTAATGACCATTCTGTTTGGAAATGTGTATTTGCTTTAATGTTCTATATTATATTTTGACTTTTAAAAAATGTGTTTTGCCCTAGCCAGTTTGGCTTAGCGGATGAGCGTCGGCCTGTGGACTGAAGGGTCCCAAGTTTGATTCTGGCCAAGGGCACATGCCTGGGTTGCAGGCTCAATCCCCAGTGGGGGGCGTGCACGAGGCAGCCAATCAATGATTCTCTCTCATCATTGATGTTTCTATCTCTCCCTCTTCCTTCCTCTCTGAAATCAATAAAGAAATATATATATATTTTTAAAACAATGTGTTTTGCCCTGGCTGGTTTGGCTCAGTGGATAGAGAGTCAGCCTTCGGTCTGAAAGGTCCCAGGTTCAATTCCAGTCAAAGGCACATGCCAGTGTTGCAGATTCGATCCTCAGTGTGGGGCATGCAGGAGGCAGCTGATCAATGATTTTCTCTCATCATTTCATCATTAATGTTTCTATCTTTCCCTCTCTTCTTCTCTGAAATCAATAAAAAATTTTTTTTTAAATATGTTTTTCAAAAAGCTTTTCTCTGAGCTTTATTAGGGATTTGTGTGCATATGTATGTGTGTGTATGTATTTATGTATTTTTGTTAATCCTCATACGAGGATACTTTTCCATTGATTTTTAGAGAGAGTGGAAGGGAAGGGGAGAGACAAAGAGAGAGAAACATCGATATGAGAGAGACACATTGATCGGTTGCCTCCCAAACACGCTCTGACCTGGGCTGGGAATCGAGCCTGCAACCGAAGTATGTGCCCTTGACCGGAATCAAACCCAAGACCCTTCAGTCCAGGGGCCAATTCTCTATCCACTGAGCCAAACCAGCTAGGGCTGTGTGTTTTGTTTTGTTTTTCATTAAGAGCTCTATTAACAGGTGCTTGCAGTTTGTTGACTTTTTTTTTAAATCCAGTTGTAAACTTTTATTATTTTTTAATGAGTTAAAAATGAATTAGAGATTGTGTTTATTCTTTTCTCTTGTCATTTTCTCTTTTAAGCCAAAGTGCTACACCAACCTTATGGGACTCCTTAGAAGAACCTGATATTCGGGATCCTAGTGAATTTGAGTATTTATTCTCCAAAGACACAACTCAGCAGAAGAAAAAACCACTGTCAGAGACCTATGAGAAAAAAAACAAGGTCAAAAAGGTACTGCGTGATTATCATAATCATTGTAATCATATATAAATAACATACATGGGAATTCATTATGTGCTGCAGGTTTGCTTTCCCTGCTTTCAAAAAAAGTTTTGCAAGATTTCAAGTCACAGATGACAAAAAGGAGCCAAAAGTTTGAGCATGTGTGCTTGCTATTTCAGTCATAGCACCTGAATTTTCAAGTGATTTTCTTAATTTAATCTGAACCCTCTTTAGCCATTAATTCTATTGAAAAAATATGGCTATTTAAATTTAATTAACACAATTAGATAAAATAAACAATTCAGTCCTTCCGTGGCACTAGCCACTTTTCAGTTTTGTTCTGTGGCTAGTGGTTATCATATAGCACAGGTATAAAACATTTCTGTCATTACAAAATGTTCTACTGGCTAGCACTATCCAAGCATCTGGGATATGTTGGTGAAAAAATACACCCAAAGATTCTTGCTCTTTAGAGCTTCTTTGACAATCAATATTAAAAACAAAAATTAGATCACGTAACCATGATTTAAGAAGGATGGACTTTGGCATGATGGTGATGAGGCTACAGCTTTAAATAGAGTCTTAGGGTAGTCCTCATTAAGAAAGGTGCCTTCTGAGCAAAGATTTGAGGATTTGAAATCTGAGGCTCCCAGTCATCCCATCAGAGAAAAGGTTTAAGATCCTCAAGTATCAGATGTGAAGTTGAATCACAACCGGGCCATACACTGGCTATGTGACCTAAGTCAAAGTTCTTCCACTCTGTGCCTCCGTTCCCTAACCATGACATGAGATGGCATCTGTTCCTATTATTATTCTAATTATTAAGTATGAATATACATTTATATACATCATGCTTAACATTGTGCCTGGCACACTGTCGGCACTCAGCAAATGATGGCTATTCTCATTTTGCTTCTGTTGCTACCACTGCTGTTATTTCTCTGCATAAATGTTTTTTTGTATGGAGTTCATTCTTTTTTCTCCTAAGTGTTTTGATAATAGCCTATCAGTGATGGCGAACCTATGACACGCGTGTCAGAGGTGACACGGGAACTTATTTTTTTGGTTGATTTTTCTTTGTTAAATGGCATTTAAATATATAAAATAAATATCAAAAATATAAATCTTTGTTTTACTATGGTTGCAAATATAAAAAAATTTCTATGTGTAACACGGCACCAGAGTTAAGTTAGGGTTTTTCAAAATGCTGACACGCCGAGCTCAAAAGGTTCGCCATCACTGGCCTAGATGGTGTTGAGCAAAAGTAAAGTACTTGGTTCTGCTATTGATTTTTTATTTTATTTTAATCCTCACCCAAGGATATTTTTCCACTGATATTTAGGGTGAGTGGAAGGGAGGGAAAGAAGGAGGGGGAAAGAGAGAGAGAGAGGAGAGGAGAGGAGAGAGAGAGAGAGAGAGAGAGAGAGAGAGAGAGAGAAAGAGAGAGACATCAATGTGAGAGACACACATTGATTGATTGCCTCCTGCACTCACCCCAGTCCCACCCGACCGGGACCAGGAATCAGATCTGCAACCCAGGTACATGACCTTGACCAGGAATCAAATCCATGACCCTTTGATGCATGGGCTGACACTCTAACCACTGAACACCACAGACCAGGGCTCTGCTATTGATTTGCCATGTGAGCGTGGGTAGGTTTTCTTTTTTCTCTAGATCATTTTTTCTCTTTTCTATAAAAGAGGATTAATAATATCTGAGTCCATATGACTCACCAGGATGTTGTGAAATTTAAGTCTGAGGGTTTGAGGAACTGTTTTGAAAAGTTGGTAATATTAAATGATATTATCATCAACTCTTCATTCTTAAATTATACAGTTGGGTTCATCCCCTGGTTCATATCTCAGGTAACACTGTGATTATGAAATCAGCTGTGCCTTACAGTGAAAAAATGGCAAAAGTTGAGTGCAGTTTTCTGTTAATGAAAGATTTTCCCACTGAGTTGAATCATCAATGAAAATCATAATCAAAGTTTTTCACCTCTTAAATCCATTGTAATTGTGTTTTTATGAGAAAACAATGTGATCCTGACAATAATTAAATTTCACAACAAACCTTTTGAGAAGACATATGCAGCCTTGGCCACTGTGGCTCAGTTGGTTGGAGCATTGTCTCATACACAAAAGGGTGGCGGGTTTGTTCCCTGGTCAGGTCACATGCCTGTCTTGCAGGTTCAATACCCTGTCAGGGTGAGGGCGGGGGAAGGGCAGCTAATCAGTGTGTCTCACATCAATGTCTGTCTGTCTGTCTGTCTGTCTGATCAGTGTGTCTCACATCAATGTCTGTCTGTCTGTCTGTCTGTCTCTCTCTCTCTCTCTCTCTCTCTCTCTCTCTCTTTCTCTCTTTCTCTCTCTCTCCCTTCCTTCCTCCCTCCCTCCCTCTCTTTTTTTTCTCCCTTGCTCTCTCCCTTCCATCCTTCCTTCTAAATAAAATAAAAAGTAAAAGAAATAAAAAGAAATATTGCATGGGACAATTTGAATTTTTCTACTAAAACAATTCATTCCAGGAAAGTAGTCAACTAATATACTATAAAACGTATTCCCATGCAGTTAGATTGTGTGGGATGGAAGTAAGTGTGCTTTATAGGCCGGCTGGCTTTTCAGATGCTATCTACAGAAACAGGAGACTAGATTCCATACAACACGCAAAAGAAGAACCTCTGTATTCCAGAAACTCACCTCAATTTGCCACTTCCAGGAAGTTGCCTCTGACTAACCAGGAACTCTGCTAAATGCATTCTTACTCATTATCATATTAAATTTAATTTCGTTCTCTGTTTCTTCCCAGATTGCTATGACTTTTTTTGTTTCTCTCTTTGGATGCTTGGTAACATGCTGTTATTATTTCTGTTTTGGCAAATGAGTATTTTTAAAACATCAAAGCATTTAGTTGTTTGTTCTTATTTCTTATCTCATAATTGTTTGCCTGTTCAACAAAGGATTTTCACTAAGCCAGTTAGTACTTGATGTGTTTATTTTGTTTCCCTGTCTGAGGAGGAAAATACCCTTCATTTGAACTCTTTAATCTTTCTGAACAGTGAGGTTGCTGTTAACCCGTATAGTCAGCACCTATGTAGTTTCCACTTTTTTCTTTAAGTAGAGCCAAGAATATAGGTCTACTGGGCTACATGGTCTTGAGGCTGCTTGAAGTGTTAGTGAGCTTTGTGGTCTACCTTAGGGCTGCGATTTTAAGTTTTAAGGAAAATAACAAACTGAATAAAAGCCAGAAAACTCTAAACCTGCTTCCTATAGGCCTTCCTTCCATGCCTGTGGTCAGATTTCCAGCATCAAGTTGGATCCCTTGGTCTCTTCCAAGAGTCAGATATTTGTTTTCTTTAATCTTAAAATGAAAGTGAATTTTGGAGGTTGTAAGCAACTGAGGGATTTCAGCATTGGAGGCTAACTTCATCTGCTTAAGCACAGAATGGTTACCAAGATGACCAGGAGGACACTTGCCAAATAGGTCTTTTCGAAGGACTAATATGGAGTATATATGTTGGAGATAGAAAGGGCCAGCATTCTGAATCTTAACTGTGAGATACATGTGAACATCTCTTAAATGGATTCGGTCTTCATCTCTCTCCGCAGACCACATTCCTAGTTCAGAAATAACTCTCAAGATTCTGCTGAATACAGATACTAGTTTCTAGTTTCATCTTCTGTACTAGCATCTGATGTTCCCATCAGTGAACACATATTCTTAAATTGGGCAGGTATCCTGTTCTATACCATAGAGTCTAAGAATTAGAAGGAACCTTCCCAATCATCTGAGTACCCTCATCTGGCACATGAGAAACTGGCCTAGGAAGATGAAGTGGCTTCTAGGGTTTGCACACTTTTACTGGGGCGACATTGATAATGGTGAGCCCTTGAGAGGATATACAAGAGCCGCAGCATGTTCACTGCACCTTTATTTACACAGTAATTGGCCACATTGGTGATGGTAACAATATTTATTGAGATGAATGATTTGATGTTTATAAACGAGATTAGCTATTATTAAAATCATCAAAAAAATATAGCTTACACTTGTGCAAATTGAAAATATTTCCTACATAGTAAAAATCATCCAGTTTTCTTCAGAGTTTTTCAGTAGGAAGTCAAATCTTTGAATAAAAAGATGTTTTGCATTTAACTCTAACAGTGAAATATGTAGATAAGGGGCTATTTCCTTTTGACTCTACCAATATTTTAAATGTTAACTGTAAATAAATACCATGACAGATTTGTTTTGGATACTAAGGCATGTGCCAACCTCATTTGTGGCACCAGTCCATTCTGCCAGGACAGACAGAGCCACCACCAAACTAAGAGCCAGGGTTCAAAACACCAGCCCTTGTTTGCACCACCAGAACATAGTACTGTCTCCTATTTATTGCTCTGTGATAACCTTCAGAGCCATGTATTTAATTGTCACACACTACTTCCTTCTCTATAAAATAAGGAATAACAACTCTTTACAGGGTGGTTATGAGGGTAAAGTGAAATCATGGTTATGAAAGTGCTTTATTCTCTAGAACTATGTATTAATCTCTTAGTTTATGAACTAATATGAAAGCTTTGCAAATACATTTTTGAACATCGTTAATTCCTACAAGGTTGTTGAAGATCTTAAAACATTAGTGTGTCCATTCTTGAAACTGTTTGCAAAGGGTAATCTCCACACCATTTCTGTTTTTCAATATTTATAAAATTCCACAACTTTCTCTAATGACACATACGGACATCTAATGGTTCATCATACATTGGTTTATATAGTCTCTCTGTGCTGTAAAATAAGTTTCCACTGTCAATATGCCCCTATTTATACTGCCTCTCAGCTACATTTGTTCCTGGGAAAGACAGGTCAGCACCTTGACAAGGAGCCAGAAATCTGCCTTCATTGTCTGAGATTCTTTCTCCTGGTGCCTGTCAAGGAAGTAGCTACTCTGATAAACTTTCCAGTTGCTTTTTAAACTTGCCCAACAACTTTCAGAGAATCAGCATGGCCT